CGCTTCCGATCCCTGCCCTTCCTGCAGTGGCTGCCCCGCTACCCAGTCAAGGAGTGGCTGCTGGGGGACATAGTCTCAGGCTTCAGCGTGGGCATCATGCACCTGCCCCAGGGTGAGCGATGCCATGCCCAGGCTGCCGGGGGCTCCCCACAGGCAGGGGGGCCAGGGCTCGGCCATCCATGACGTTTCTCCCTGCTCCCCCACGTCCAGGTCTCGCCTACGCACTGCTGGCCGGGCTGCCACCCGTCACCGGTCTCTATTCCTCCTTCTACCCTGTCTTCCTCTACTTCTTCTTTGGGACATCCAGGCACAACTCCGTGGGTGAGCTGAGGGACCCCGTGCTCCCACAGGGATGGTGGGGAGGGAGTGAGGATGAGGAGGGGCAAGCCTCCATCCATGGCACAGCATTGCCACATCAGTGGTTGGGGGGGGACCTTTCTCGCCTTTAATTTGCCCCCCCAAGAAGGTAGTTGGCCATACCAGAGCCAAAGTACAGTGGGTGCACTTTGAGCCTGGCCCAAGGGGACAGGTGCCTGTGGACCTCAGAGAGGTCCTGGTGCTGACCTTGGGCTCCCTGCCCATACCCTGCCTGGCCCCAGGCCCCTTTGCTGTTATCTCCGTCATGATCGGGAGCGTGACGGAATCCCTGGTGCCCAGCGAGAACTTCCTGGAGTCCGTCAACGGCACCAACATCACGATGGTCAATGAGGAACGGCGCGACGCTGCCAGGGTGGAGCTGGTGGCCACCATTACTATCCTGACAGGCATCTTCCAGGTAAGGGGTCCCAGCCCAGCCTGGCAGGGAACAAGGGGCTGTGGTGCCCCATGGCTGCAAGCTGCAGGGCACTCTTTCTGCCATCTCTCCTTCCAGGTGGCCCTGGGCCTCCTGCAGTTCGGCTTCGTGGTGACCTACCTCTCGGACCCGCTGGTGCGCGGCTACACCACCGCCTCCTCCGTGCACGTCCTCATCTCCCAGCTCAAGAATGTCTTTGGGGTCTCCGTGGGCGAGCACTCGGGGCCACTTTCGATGTTCATGGTGAGTGGGAGTTTGCTGCTGCCCTGGGACCCCCAGGTGCTCACCTATGGGGCACACAGTGGTCCCCAAAAACCTGCCGGGGAGGCATCTGCTTTCCTGAGCCTGTTCCTACCTCCTGTGTCCTCTAGACCCTCATTGAGATCTGCCAGAAGCTTCCAGAGACCAACGTGGGCACCCTGGTGACAGCCATCATTGCCATGGTGGCCATCTTCATTGTGAAAGAGCTCAACCACAAGTTTGCCTCCAAGCTGCCCATGCCCATCCCCATCGAGCTTATCACGGTACCCAGAGCTGCCCCAGCTCCCTGTGGGGATGCAGCCATGGGTGGCCCAGGGTGGGGAGAGGTGGGATGGGGTGCCTTGGCGAGTGCAGCTCCAGGGCATGTGTCCCCTCCTCCTCCGCCACGGTCCCTGCACAGGCAGTCCCTGCCTCACTCCAGCCATCCTCTCCCAGATCATCGTCTCCACCGGCATCTCCTACGCCGTCAACCTGAACGCCAAGTTTGGCATCACCGTGGTGGGCAACCTCCCCAGCGGGTGAGCAGGGCCAGGCGGTGAGGGTAGCAGTGCCAGGGCACCGCGCCGCCCACGGGACCCTCCTTTTGAGCCCCGTTTCCCTGTCTCGGCTGTAGGTTGAAGCCACCCAAGGGCCCTAACATCAGCTACTTTGGGCAGGTGGTGGGCAACGCCTTCGCCATTGCTGTGGTGGGCTATGCCATCTGCATCTCCCTGGGCAAGATCTTTGCCCTGAAGCATGGCTACAAAGTGGACAGCAACCAGGTGATGCTCTGATGGGCAGGGCCCCTTCCCTGGGTGAAAACCAAGCTTGTACTTCTTGCAGCTGGGGGAAGGCACGGTGCTCCCCCACCACTGCTCTGTCCCTGCAGGAGCTGATCGCGCTGGGCTTCAGCAACTTCCTGGGGGGCTTCTTCCAGTGTTTCGCCATCAGCTGCTCCATGTCGCGCAGCCTGGTGCAGGAGAGCACAGGGGGCAACAGCCAGGTGGGTCTGGGCAGCGCTGCCTCCCTCCACGGGGCTGGACCGGGGGCAAGGAGCGCAGCGAGCGGTGCGGGGCTCAGCTCTCGCCTCCTGCTCTCCTTCCCCTCAGGTAGCTGGGATCATCTCATCCCTGGTCATCCTGGTGACCATCCTGAAGATCGGAGAGCTCTTCCGGGACCTGCCCAAGGTACGTCTGGTCCCACAGCCTCCGTGCCACATCCCACCCCTGGGCCCGTCCCGTGGCAAGGTGGTGTGGCAGGGGAACAGCCAAGGCTCTCCCCCAGACCTGCCCTCAGCATCCTCACAGCTGCAGGGACTTCTCTCCTAGGCCATCCTGGCTGCCATCATCATCATCAACCTCAAGGGCATGTTCAAGCAGTTCAATGATCTCTGCATGCTCTGGAAGTCCAACCGGGTGGACCTGGTAAGGCGCTGATCGGCCCCAGAGCTTTGCTCTTGTCCCTGGAGAGGGTTTCTCCACCCTCCCTGAGGCTTGCAGGTGCCAGCGGGGAAGCCGTGCCGCGGCTGACCGTGTGCCCCCTCCAGATGGTCTGGATTGTGACATTCGTGGCCACCCTCTTGCTGAACTTGGATATCGGCCTGGCAGTCTCGGTGGCCTTCGGGCTGCTCACTGTCATCTTCCGCACCCAGGTGTGAGTACCTCAGGGCTGGGGCTGGTGCTGCGTCCCGAGGGCAGGGGAAGCCCGTGGTGACCTCAGCCGCTTGCTCTGCTCCCCACAGGCCCCACTACTCCGTCCTGGGGCGCATCGCCGACACCGATGTCTACAGGGACGTGGCTGAATACCAGATGGTAACAGCAGCAGGGATGGGAGAAGAGCCGCCCGCAATGGCGAGGGCAGTTCAAAGCACCCTCAGGGGCTGTTTGCTGGGGAAAGGAGCGGGGGGGCATTTTGGGGGAGGGAGGGAAGGGGAGCGGGGGGCTCCGTCCCTGCAGCAGCACCCACCCCATCCGCCCCCAGGCACAGGAGGTCCCCGGTGTGAAGATCTTCCGCTCCTCCGCCACCCTCTATTTTGCCAACGTGGAGCTGTACGCCGAGGCCCTGAAGAAGAAGGTAGGAGAGCCGCCAGTCCCCCGGTGCCCCCCGTGCACCCCGCCGGCCGGCACCAGGGTGGCGGTGGGGCACCCGGGGACACTGGGCTGCCTTGCTTTGCAGAGCGGCGTCAACGTGGACCGCTTGATCAAGAAGAAGAAGGCGGCTGTCAAGAAGCTGAAGAGACAGCAGAAGAAAGCGGAGAAGGAGAAAGCAAAGAGAAAAAAGGTGCTTCCCTGCCGCAGGGGAACCCCTCCGGTGCCACCCTGCACCGCCTCCCTGCCTGGCCCTCTCTCTCCTGCCCGTGCTTTTGCCAGGCTCGGTGGCCCGAGGGGCCCCCCGTTCAGTTTGGGGCCACTGGGTGAGAAGAGACACTGGAGCAAAACTGGGTCACGGCGTCACACCCAAGGTCACTGGGGAAAGCCGGGCTGTTAATGATTAGGTGGTGGAGCCAGTGAGTCATTAGCCATTAGGCGAGTTAATCAGAATTAAGAGCAAGAGCAAAGGCTGACCTGGTGCCAGCTAATGAGCCTGGCTCTGGAGACGGTCACTGGGGAGAGGGGTGGGTCCGGCACATCTGGAACGAGCCCAAAAGTGGGTGAAGGTGTGAGCGAGGCGCCCGCTCCCAGGGCCACTCGCTGCCCGTGCCCTAAGGCAGCCAAAGAGCCTGGCCAGGCCCCACCGCGCTAGCCCGGGGGGAGGAAGGCTGCCTGGCCAGCAGCCCCCGTGCCGTCAGCCGGGTCTCCTTCCCTTTCCCAGGATGGGGAGGATGGGCTTAACGGTCCAGGTGTGGCGGTGATCGAGCTGAGCGGGGCGGAGGGGAGCGCGCCCCCCGAGCCCACCCTGCGCACCCTGGGGCTGCCCCAGCCCGGCTTCCACTCTCTCATCTTGGACTTCAGCCCCGTCAGCTTCGTGGACACCGTCTCCATCAAGATCCTGAAGAACGTAAGGGGCCGGGGGAGCAGGCGGGCCGGCAGCCTCGCCGAGGGTGTCCCCAGGGCCCTGCAGGGTGGCCTGATGGCCGCTGCCCATCCCTCTTCCCCAGCAAAACGTGTTTTTCTGCCATTCGCAGATCTTCAGGGATTTCCATGAGATAGAAGTGGACGTCTTCATTGCCAGCTGCCCCGGTGAGGCAGCTCTGCAGAGCCATCAGCCCCTGCCGGGCGTGCCCGCCCCTTCGGGACGCAGCCGCTGGCCTGCGGCTCCCTCCGTGCTGTCACCATTCCCAGGGTTTCCCCAGGGGAGAGGTGCTGCAGGTTGTCCCCGGGATCCAGTCTGAGCCCCGCAGCCCCTGGCGAGGCAGCTGGATCCCCGGTGACGGCCCCTGCGGCACAGTGGGAGGGAGGGAGGCTGGGTTGGGGTGCTGGGCTCAGCCGGGTGCCGTAGCTTCGGGTGTCTCTCCCTCCACACAGTGACCGTCCTTGAGCAGCTGGAGCGGGGCAACTTCTTCAGCTCGGCCATCACCAAGCACTGCTTCTTCCCCTCGGTGGACAACGCCGTGGTCCACATCAGCGGGGAGCGGCGCCGGGCCTCGGTATGCACCCCGCCTCGCCCTCCCCGTCGCCGTGAAGGAGAAGGGAGCAGCCAAGCCACCCCCTCCCTGCCTGTCGCCCTTAGGTGGCCCTCAGCACCCGAATGTAGCCCCGCGAGCGGAGGACGTCTCCCCGAGGAGCTGGGCAGGCGCAGGAGGAACTTCGCTGCCCCAGTGGCACCGACTCACCCACCCCGGGGGCCCGGAGGCCTCGTACCCCCCCA